GTTTGTCTGCAGGTATCAGGTACCTGCTGATCCAGGTGTGTTTGTCTGCAGGTATCAGGTACCTGCTGATCCAGGTGTGTTTGTCTGCAGGTATCAGGTACCTGCTGATCCAGGTGTGTTTGTCTGCAGGTGCAGCGTCAGGTGAAGCGCATGTCGTCTCCGGGCTGCAGCTCAGTCTCTGTGAAGTGGCAGCAGTTCAATCCTGCAGCTCCTCCACCTGTTCAGGCACCGAAGCAGCTTCACGCTCTCTTCAACGACCACCACACCCTGGTGTACGGCCTGGTGCCGCACTGCACACAGGTACGCCTCAGGTTCTGCTCAGGTCAGGATCAGAGGGAGGGAACAGCTGCTGGGCGGGGCAGATAAACAGTCCAGTAGGATGTAGATGTTTTTAAGAGTGATGTTTTTTTACTTTGTTAAATTTAATTTGTAAATTGTTCTAACAAATTAAATGTAAATGTGACCAGGCTGTAAAAACACCCTGAGTTCATCTGTTTCCAGCAGCCACACCTCTAACCTTCAGTCAGGTGTCGGTCCGGTCCGGTCCGGTCCGGTCCGGTGTTCAACACCCCCTGTCTATCATCCATCTTTCATCGAAGATCTTTATGATTCTTTTGTTTCAGTAACAGTTTCAGTGCAAAACTAAACATTTCAGACAGTTTGATCAACAATTTATTGTCTTCAGAAAAATCCTTGTTCAGACTCATCCTGTTCCTGTTCGATGCACCTCACCTGAACAGCACAGGTGTACATCAGGAGTGTCTGCTGGTCTGACTCGACTATTCTGATCTGACTCCTCTGGTCTGACTCGACTCTTCTGGTCTGACTCGACTCTTCTGATCTGACTCGCCTGGTCAGACTCGACTCGTCTGGTCTGACTCGACTCTTCTGGTCTGACTCGACTCCTCTGGTCTGACTCGACTCTTCTGGTCTGACTCGACTCCTCTGGTCTGACTCGAATCTTCTGGTCTGACTCGACTCTTCTGATCTGACTCGTCTCGTCTGGTCTGACTCGACTCGTCTGGTCTGACTCGACTGCTCTGGTCTGACTCGACTGCTCTGGTCTGACTTGACTCCTCTGGTCTGACTCGACTCCTCTGGTCTGACTCGACTCCTCTGGTCTGACTCGACTCCTCTGGTCTGATTCGACTCTTCTGGTCTGACTCGACTCTTCTGGTCTGACTCGACTCTTCTGGTCAGACTCGACTCGTCTGGTCAGACTCGACTCGTCTGGTCTGACTCGACTCATCTGGTCTGACTCGTCTGGTCTGACTCGACTCGTCTGGTCTGACTCGTCTGGTCTGACTCGACTCGTCTGGTCTGACTCGACTCGTCTGGTCTGACTCGACTCGTCTGGTCAGACTAGACTCTTCTGGTCTGACTCGACTCCTCTGGTCTGACTCGACTCATCTGGTCTGACTCGACTCCTCTGGTCTGACTCGACTCGTCTGGTCTGACTTGACTCGTCTGGTCTGACTCGTCTGGTCTGACTCGACTCGTCTGGTCTGACTCGACTCATCTGGTCAGACTCGACTCTTCTGGTCTGACTCGACTCGTCTGGTCTGACTCGACTCCTCTGGTCTGACTCGACTCCTCTGGTCTGACTCGACTCTTCTGGTCTGATGACTGTGAAGAGTTCTCTGGGTTTCAGGCGACTCTTCTGGGGACCCTGGCGGGTCAGGAGCTGCAGACGGTGGTGTCCACCACAGAGCTGCAGAAGACCAGAGGAACGGTAAGAACCTGTTTGTTCTTCAGGTAGAGAACCTTAAAGCAGACTCAACCATGACTGATGACCTGTCTTCAGTTTCTCCACAAGCTCACAGCCAGGGCCCTGATCAGGGACTATGAAGACGGAAGCCTGGACACGAGCGAGGCCGAACACGAGGTAGGCGTGTGGGTTCTGACCCGGCCCAGTCTCAGGCTCAGCTGACTGCAGACTGACCGGTGTTTGTGCTCATTCAGGGAAAGAAGGCAGAGCTGAAGTCGTTCATCGTTGAGCTGAGCAAAGAGTTCTCCGTCCTGTCTCAGTTCACCAGCTTCGTGGCCATTGAGGACAGGGTTGGTTGGTGTGTGTCCTCACTAAGCTCTGGACTGATCCAGTTCCAAACCAAACCAGGTCCTTCTGTCCTGTTTCAGGACCAGCAGCTGGAGGACGGCGTCACCGACATCCCCAAGCTGATTGCAGAGGAGGATGTGGACTTCCTGCCGTACATCAGCTGGACTGCCCCTGAGGACACTCAGACACCAACAGTGAGGACTTTTCTGGCCAATCTCAGAGACATTGTCCCGACTTTCCTGTCTAATCTCAGAGACATTGTCCCGACTTTCCTGTCTAATCTCAGAGACA